ACACCCTTGATATGTTCTAATTTGCTTGAGGACAAGCAAAAATTCAAGTTTGGGGTAGTGATGAATCCATATTTTACTAGTATTTTACAATAGTTTTTAGTGCAATTAATAAAGAAAACATGCTAGAAATAGTAGAAAACCCTTAAAAAAATAATAAAATGTTGCATGTCACTTTTAAACATAGTTATTTTAAAATTCATTGATTTTCTATGTAAAAAGTGACATTTCAAGTATGCTTTTGTAGGGAATTTTGAGCTAAGTTCATGAGAATTGGATGATCAAGGAAAAATAGAACAAAAGTAGCAAAAAATGGAGGAAAGAAGTTGATAATTGAAAAACAGCCTCTGAGTGATCACTTTCGCTGGTGAAAGTGATCACTCCAGAACCATAAAATGAAGAAGAACTTCTGCGTAATCACTTTTGCTGGTAAAAGTGAGCGTTCCAGAGAATCCTCCAAGAAGAATAGCTGCGCGTGTTCACTATTATCAGCAAAAGTGAACACGCGCAAGAAAGCAGCTTCTGCGTGTTCACTATTTCTAGCAGAAATGAACACGCGCATGACATTAGCAAAGGAAGCTTCTGCGTGGCTACTATTTTCAACAAAAGTGAACACTTTGAAGTACGCGTGGCTACTATCACCAGCAAAAGTGAACACGCACAAGTGGAAATGAAGAATTAGCCTCTGCGTGATTACTATTGCTGGAAAAAGTGATCACGCCAGCAGAGCGGGAATTCTATAAAAGGCAGTTAGCTCAGGAATTCTAGGAGTTTTTTGTTCATTTTTTATTTTCCATTTGTTTTTGTTGTTGAGAGAGTCAAAGGGGGAGATTGAGGACGAACACCAAGCTTCATTTCTTGAGGGATCAGATTGGAGATTGGCTTGAAGATGTTTCTTCTTTGTTCATTCTCTTCTACTCTTCTCTTCTCTTCTCTTCTCTTTTTGTAATGTTTGCTTAAACTCTTTGTGGTTAAGAATTGTGAATCTGAAATGGAAATGTTGAATTGATTTTGGATCTGAACTTTGAGTTTTGGATTGGATTGAGTGATTGATTCTGCTGTTAAAGTAGTGATTGAATGGAAATTTGATCAACTAATCATAGAGGAACTCTTATCAATGGGAATTGAATTTGTTTCTCAGATCTGAATTAATTACCAAGGTTATTGGTTTCTTAGGGATAAGATATCTTAATCTTGCAATCTTTTGGTTTCTCAAACTTAATGCAGCATTTGATTGGATTAGATCTAACGGATTGGAGTGATTTGATTAGATGCTAGATTCATTGAGGCAAGGGATTATCCTTTGATTAATACAACGTGAAACTGATTGTCATTCCATCTAAATGCTTGAAAGTTCAGAACTTTATTGATTCAATGTTGAAGTTTTGGTGAAACAAATTCCTAACTACTCTTTCTACATCTGTTTACTATATACTTTTGTACTAACTGTTCTGTTTTACTTTCTAATTTCGTTTTTGATACATTCATACCAATTCCATCTGAAATTTGTAAAGCTCAACTAATTGTGATCTTGTGAAGTGGTAATTGAGAACTTTATTCCCTGAGGACAATACTTGGAACTCAATTTGATTCTAAGATTTTTTATAACTTGCTACAACAACACTAGTACACTTGCTAGTCAGTTTACCTTCATTGCAACAGTAGTTGTAAAAAGTGACACTTATGCATATAAGGATAAGAAACTTATTGTTGTTGTTGTTGTTGTGGAGGTCTATTGAAAGTACATATATACCATGGTTCCTTACGTCGACAGGGTACAAATATATAGATTTCATATTTTTAGATACTTTTTCAGACCTATTGCCGATACTAAGTAGCAGCCAAAATTTTGTATCCATTTTTCATGATATTATGCATGGATTAGATATATCATGGCAAATTCTTCAGATTCCATTGTGTCTTTCACAATGCCCATCCATAGCATTGATTGGCGATGGCATTATTCCTCCAACCTTGATTTCCCTACATGAAATTGTTAGCATTATAATTGTAGGAATTAAATTTATCTCTTTTTGATTGGTTTCTCATGTAGTTAACTACCTCTTCTTGAGTAGTTTCTGCACAAAAATTGTTTGGGTGATCTTCTTCACAAAAATCACACCTAAGTGGAGGGTTTGATTGAGCTTAAGGAAAATTTATGGCATGGAGTTATTGTGGTATTTTGGCCATTTATTTTGTCAAAGCCTCAATCTATTAAGATAACAACTTGTTCTGAGCCAGAATTGCATCATTAGTGCTCAAATCTATAACTCCTCTTCTTTGAGATTGGTGTCTTCCATGTTGAGTTTGCTGATCAGAAGATGCTAAGGATTCTATAATTTGAGTAGCTTCATCTAGACCTACATACATCATAGTACCACCAGCTGCTGCATCCAATAACATCTTGACATCCACATCGTAATGGTATCAAAAGTAAGCTAGATTACTCAAACAAACATGCAGTTTAGGGAGCAACCTAGGTCATCTCTCACAAGGATGCAAATGCACATGGTTTCAATATCAATTATGTTGAAAAGGTTATATGTTTGGAGAGTTTTGTGATTAATTCAAATGAAAATTGCTGAGAATTAAATTGTGAACAATAAATGCAAATCGAATTAATAACGAAATGTAAATTGCAATGCAAGTAAAATCAATTGCAATTAAACCGAAAATGAGAAACTGAGAATGAAAACTGAAAAATTGAAACACACAATCTAAGATCCAGAACACAAACACAAACGTGAATTGATTATACCAAGTTTGCTTAAATCTCTTATGCACAACAAATCAGCTAATCAATTGTTTGTTATACAATCAAGAAAAGAAGGCACAACTCAATCAAACTATACTTCCTATGCAATCGCAAAATATAAGGTCAGAAAACAAACTTAGAGCATTAATCGATTTTCCAATTCTTGTTTGAGCAAGTGCAATCCAGAACTCAGTGATGCAATTGAGATCAAAATGCAAAAGGAAACGACTCAGAATTGCAGAATTCTAAACATCTTTCAACCATAAATGCAAAGCAAGATGCAATGGAATTCTAAAAGGTGCAAGAGAATAAGAGAATGGGTAAAAAATGCGAGGTTTTTTAGAAGCGGGAAAGTTTTACAAAACTAAAAAACAAAAAAATGAATTAAGTGTGCTTCCAAATCATCCCCTAACCTCTATAAATAGTAGTCCTAAATGAATAAAAATGAATGGGCCAGGGCTAGGCCGAAAATAAATACAACAAAACCGCAAAAACAAAAGCAATACAAAATCAATACAAAAGTCAAGCTAAAAGTCTGATCTTTTAAAATTCATAGAAAATATCTCTGAACTCCAAAAAGCAATATCCATGTGCCTAAATTGAAGCCCCAGAAGTAAGGAATCCAATGCAAAAAGAATCAGCTAAAAAGGATATCTACAGAAAAAGTTATGGCCAAATTAGTGAACAAAGGTCAAAATAGAAAACATGAACAAAAAAAAAATGAGTATTTACAAAAGTTCTTAATTAATGTGAGAAATGCAAAGACACGTTAATGTAAGAAATAAGGGAATGAAAAGACATCTAAAGGATGCAACAAGACTGTAAATGTGGGAACAAAATATGAGTCATTAAATACCCCCACACTTAAGCTTTTGCACCCCCAAGCAAAAGAAAAGAGAAGGAATCAACGTAAAGCAAAATTTTCCAATGGATCCCTAAGTGTAAGTAATGCGAGCAAGAAAAATGAATCCATCAATCAAAGTATGAAAGAATCAATAGAAACAATCAAGAATGTGCTCCAAACATTAAAAGTAAAGAAGAGTTTCAATCTAATTAAATTATGGATCACAATCAGTAAAATTCTCACACGGATGTGTATCACTCATTCTCCCAAGTGTTTAGGCAAGTAATTTCACTCAAAGTACACTATGAAAGTAAGCATTACCATAGGCTTGAAGAGTCTCTAATTTCTATCATTTAAAACACATGCACCAAAGATCAATAGGACTTGTATTAAGCTTGTAATGTGGCTAAGGTAAAGGTAAGATAAAAGAAAATGTACAAAGCTAAAAACCAAAGAGAAAAGAAGAGCAATGGGGAATGAATTGAAAAACAAGTAAAAATACCTAAAAACTAGCAACACACATTTATTATATTTTTTTTATTTCTTTATTATTATTATTTTATTTTATATATATATATATATATATATATATATATATATTTATTTTTCTATTTTGCAATAACTTCACTATTTCTATACAATCCATTTTTTTTTTCAATCAACTTTCAAAGCATCAAAATTCTCTCAAAATTTTATGAACAAAGCATAAGGTACATAACACCCCTACACTTATTTCCAACCAATTCCCAAAACAATTCCAAAGCTCATCTATTCCCAAAGGTTGGGTGCATCATGGTTTTTCAAGTTACATGGCTTGGACTGAGCTGCAAAATCATCAAGAAAGAGGTGTTAATAAGGCTCAAAGGGGGTAAACCAATGGAATAAATGCAAGGTAAGTCAATTTGGCTAAATTGCTAAAAATCAAAAGAGGGCCTAAATCATATCAAAAGTGCATGTGAACAAATAACATAAAAAAGAATCAAGTCAAGTTCTAGAATACTTACAAACATGAGTGGATCACACAAGAAAGAAGATAAGCTCAAATCTCACTAAGGCGTGCATTCTACCAATCATTGATCCAAAACCTAATTATCATGAAAAACTAGCTAAACTCAAAATGCAAGAAACACATCTATCAAGTTATGAAACTTTCAACTAAGAATGACAATGAAAAGTTGTTCACATAAATGAAATCTAAAAGCAAGGGAATCCAATGAAAAATATGCTAAGGAATACTCCCTTACCCCACACTTAAATCAAACAGTGTCCACAATATGGGAAAAAAAATAGAAAATGCAAAACATATGCATGTAGTCTAAGAATAAAGTGCAAATATATACATGAAAAAGTAAAGAAAATTATAGTGAAATGAAACAAAGTCAAAGAAAACAATGCTCCAAGTGCCTATGTAGACACATCCTCCATCAAAGTAGGCTCCACCAAGGATAAATCAACTATGTTCTGAGCCAGTTTCACTGGTTTCTTTTCTTGGAATAGTTTCAACTGATGACCATTAACTTTAAAAGTCCTGTCGGTAACTTCATCCTGAATCTGAACTGCACTATGAGGAAAAACATGAGTAATCACAAAAGTTCCATCCCATGTAGATCGAAGCTTAACTTTCATTCTATGTAGATCGAAGCTTACCTGCAATCAATTTCAACCGAGAGTTAAACAATTACACCTTCTGGCCTACAGAGAACTCTGTCCTCAGAATATGTGTATCATGAAATCTCCTAACTTTCTATTTATACAATTTAGAATTTCATAGGCTTGCAAGCGTATCTTATCAAGCTCTTGAAGTTGGAGCTTCCTTTCAATTCCAGCCTGCTCAAGTGTCAAGTTACAGCTCTTTACAGCCCAATATGATCTATGCTCAATTTCCACCGAAAGGTGGCATGCTTTACCAAACACCACTCAAAATGGAGACATGCCTAATGGTGTTCAAAAAGTTATCCTCTGAGCCCAGAGAGCATCATCCAGAACCTTACTCTAGTCCTTCCTGTTAGGGTGAACCAACTTTTGCAATAGGTGTTTGACTTCCCTGTTGAATACCTCAGCTTGCCCATTAGTCTGGGGATGATATGGTGTAGCAACTTTGTGTGTAACCCCATACTTCTGGAACAATGCTGCTATGGTCCTGTTACAGAAGTGACTTCCCTGATCACTGATGATAGCCTTAGGCACATTGAACTTGCAAAATATATAGGTACAGAGAAAATTCGAAACAACTTTAGAATCATTAGTTCTGGTGGCCTTTGCTTCCATCCATCTGGACACATAATCAACAGCAAGTAAGATGTAAGAATATCCAGCAGAAACAGGAAAAAGACCCATAAAATCAATGCCCCAAACATCAAAAACTTCACAGAAAATAATGGGCTGTTGAGGCATCTTATGCCTCCTAGTGATAGTCCCTCCTGCCTTTTAACATATCTCACAGCTCTCAGAAAACCTAGCTGTGTCCCTGAATATGGTGGGCCAATAAAATTTGCTGTCCAATACCCTCCTAGTTGTCCTCTGTGGTCCAAAATGGCCTCCAACAGATGTTCCATGACAAAAATGTAAAATATCCTGAAACTCATGGTCAGGAACACAATGACAAATAACCTGGTCATTACAAAATTTCCATAGATATGGATAATCCTAGACATAATATTTAGCATCACTTTTAAGCTTATAAACGTGGGATCTAGATCCATCAGGAGGTATAACAAAGTAACCAAATAATTTACAATATCACCAAACTAGGGTACAGAGTCTATAGAATACAAAGCAAATAAATAATCATCAGGAAAACTGTCACAAATAGGTAAAAGGTCAATGGTCCCTTCAATACAACTCAGGTGATCAGCAACCTGATTCAACACATTACTCCTGTCTTTTATATCAATATTAAACTTCTACAGAAGAAGCATCCATCTGATCAATTTGGGTTTAGCATCGGGCTTCTTCAATAGGAATTTCAGTGCAGCATGATCTGTAAAGACAGTTCTTCAATAGGAATTTCAATAGGAATTTCATGCAGCATTATCTGAGCTGCATCAAGAGTTCTAGAGGCATAAGCAATAACATGTGAAAATTCACCAACCCTTTGAGATAATACAGCTCCAAGTGCATAGTCAAAGGCATCACACTTCAACTCAAAGGAGAGCTCCCAATCTGGTGGTTGTATGATAGGTGCTGTGGTGAGTCTCCTCCTCAAGTCCTCAAACGCCTCCTTAAATGAATCAGTGAATAAAAATGGTACATCCTTCTGCAAAAGACTGGATAGTGGCAGAGCAATCGTGCGGAAATTTCTGATAAATCTCCTATAAAAACTTGCATGTCTAAGGAAAGAACGCACCTCTCGCACAGACACAGGGTAAGATAGAGAGGAAATAACATCAATTTATTTCTTTATTAACCTATATTCCTCTCTTAGAAACAAGATGCCCTAAGACTACACCTTCTCTTACTATAAAATGGCATTTCTCATAATTAAGGACAAGGTTAATCTCAACACATCTTTCCAAAACTCTGGTCAAGTTATGCAAACATGAATCAAAACACAAGAATTCTGGAATGCAAGCTGGGCATGATCACTATTGCTAGTAAAAGTGATTGTTCCAGAGCTTAAACAAAGAAGGGAGTCTGGGCGTGGTCACTCTTACTAGCGAAAGTGAGTGTTCCAGAGAGTTTCTCAGAAGAACATGTTGTGCATTAACACTCTCGTCGGCGAAAGTGAGTGTTCCAGAGAGACTAAATTTTAGCAAGCTCTGCGTAACCACTTTTACCAGTGAAAGTGGATGTTCCAGAAAAACCTTAACTTGGGAAGTTGTGCGTGCCCACTTTTACTCATGAAAGTGAACACGCGCAACCACTCGACCTTCTGCATTGCAACTCTTATCATTAAAAGTGATAGTTTCAGTCTTCCAGAATCACATGAGCTTCTGCGTGGCCACTCTTATGAAGAAAAGTGACTACACGCAGAGGAGGGAAATTCTATAAATACCTGAATAAGCTCAGAACTTGGGGTCTTTTGTTCATTTTCCATTTTTTCTGTTAGATTCTCGTTGAGAGAGAGTGAGAGAGAAGATTGGGGTTGAACCTCGAAGCTCCAAGAAAAGGAATTGGATTGGAGCTCATAAAGATGGCTTCTCTGCGTTTCTTCTCTTCTTCTCCTTCTTTCTCTTACTCTGTTACAATGTTTGCTTAATTTTTTGTAGTTAAGAGTTTATGGACCTTGAATTGATGTATTGATTCACTTCTTGCTTCTGAAATTTGAGTTCTTGGATTAATTGAGTTGTTAATTCTGCTGTCATTCCAATCTTTGAATGGGAATTCGTATGATTAATCAAAGAGGAACATTTGCCAATGGAAGTTGGATTTGCTTCTCTGATCTGAATTAGCAACTAGAATTAGGGATTTCTTAAGGATAAGGGAACCTAATCCTGCAATCCTACAGCTCTAAGTCTTAATGCAACTTGAAATTGAACTTCACCTAAGGGATTAGGGTGGTTTAGTTACTCGTTAAGGTCAATGATTTAAGGAATTAAACTTTGACTATTAATAAGAGAAACTGATTGTCAATTAACCAATTGCTTGAATGTTTAGCGGCATAATTGAATTGATATTGACATTCTTGTGAAATAAATTCCTAACTATCATTCATCCATTTATAATATCAACATTAAATTTGTACTATGTTTTCTGTAAATTCTTTACCTTTTAATTGTTCTTGTTTCTTATTTTCTGAATGTTACAACTCTTGCAAATTCTTATAGCTCAACTAGTTATTGTTCTGTGAATTGATAATTGATTTCCTAATTCCCTGTGGATACGATACTTTGATCTTAAAAATTACTTATTACTTGCTGCAATTCCTAGTGCACTTGCTAGTGTTTAGAATTGTAACAATAGCAACTCTGGCGGGAACCATCTCATTCTCCTGGTTCTACACAATAGTAATCCCAGACTTCTTAGGCACCACTTGTACAGGTGAAACCCATGTACTTTCAGAAATGGGGTAGATGATCCCAGCCATCAGTAGCTTGGTCACCTCTTTCTTTACTACATCAAGAATGGTAGGATTGAGTCTTCTTTGGGGCTGTCTCACTGGTCTAGACTCATCCTCTAAGTGAATCTTGTGCATACATATAGCTGGATTGATTCTAGGAATGTTAGTCAAGGTCCAACCAATGGCTTTCTTGTGCACCTTTAAGACATGCACCAGCTTCTCCTCCTGATCCTCTAGAAGGCTGCTGGAAATAATCACTAAGAACCTCTGCTTTGCATCCAGATAGGCATATTTTAGGTGGTCTGGCAGAGGACTCAAATCTAATGAAGGCGACTACTGAACAAATGATAATGGAGGCTGTGGGGCTGCAGCAGCCATGGATATAACAGAATCTAGACCTGCACCTGCAACGGAAGGTAAAACAACAGAAGATATGGCAGTATCAATCTCAACACAAATGGAACATATGCCACTATCACAGGTGCATCCTGATAAAACATCAAAGTTTAAATCTGAAAACTGAGAAAAATCAAAGTTTGAATCTGAATCCAAATCTACATTTACAGCAACATCAAAACCTATAACATCAATATCAACATCAATATCAGCATCTCTATCTACTACAACATCAACATTAACATCAACTACATCTATATCTAAATCTACATCAGTAAATACATCATCAAAATCTCTATCTACCCTTACAACATCAACTAGAAAAATAGAATGGTCAGAAAACATAGAATGCTCTCAGCTGGATGTCTCATGGCATAAAAAAAATTAAAGTGAACTGTGTCATCTTCGAACTCCATGGACAATGTGCCTGTATCAACATCAATCTTGTTCTTTGCAGTCAACAAAAATGGTCTACCCAGAATCAAAGTTCAGTTCTCATCCTGCATATCACGAATGTAAAAGTCAACTGGAAAAATCAATTGTTAACTTTTACCAACACGTCTTCAAGCACTCCCAAAGGCTGAGCTGTGCTTCGGTTTGCTAACTGAATGATCACATTGGTTGGCTTCAAGTCTCCCAAATGCAACATTTTATACACAACTGATGGCATGACATTAATAGAAGCTCCCAAGTCCAGCAAAGCGCTAGCAAAAGAGGACTGTCCAATTGTGCAGGAAATGGAGAATGTTCCTGAATCACCATATTTCTGTGGAAGGCTAGACTGGGACAAGGATGAAATTGTCTGGACTTTCCTCTTCTTCAAGTTCCTCTTATAAGTATAAAGCTCCTTCAAGAATTTTGCATACCGAGGAATCTGTTTAATAGCATCCAACAAGGGAATTTTAATCTCCACCTTTTTGGAGGTATCCAGCAACTCTTGATCAATCTCTACTCTCCTTACTGTAGGAGCTCTGCATAGAAAAGGAAAGGGAATCTGCTGCTGCTGCATAGAATTATCTAGGACTCCCTCTTCACCTCCACTACCGTCATTGGACTACACATATTTATCTGGAACTATTTTGGCCTGCATTGGACATTTGGTCAGTTCCTTGCCACTTCTCAAAGTAATAGCACTCACATTACCTTAAGGATTAACCACAAGCTGAGAAGGAAGTGCTCCAGACCCTTACTGCTGCAAATTATTCACTAAGGTAGCTAGCTGCCCAATTTGGGTCTGTAAATCTTGAATGGCGGCTAAAACGTTCTGCTGAAACTGTAGACTCTGAGTAGCCATCTGACTGACCAACTCCTCCAAGGAAGGTCCACTACTTGCTTTGGTTGTTGCACAGGGTGTTGTACTGGGTGGTGGTATGGAGGATGTGTAGGCTGCTGTTGCTGGTGATAAGTGTACTTCTGCTGGTGGCCCTGATAAGGAAGGTGTATGCCTGCTACCAAGTGAGTCTCCTGCAGCTGAGAATAAACATCTGTATAATGATCACCTATACAAATACCACATGTTTGCTGGATCTGTGGCACTGCCTAGCCCATAGCCAATTGCCTTACCAAGGAAGTTAATTCAGTAAGCTTATTCTCCAACCTCTGGTTATCAACTGCAGCAACACTACTTGTGGTTGCCTCATGTACAGCTCTGGTGGTCATGTTTCTAGAACTGAATTGTTGAGAGTTCTCTGCCATGTTGGAGATCAAATATCTTGCAGCTGCAAGAGTTTTGTCCATTAAAGCATCTCCACTAGCTACATTAATCATGTTGCGCTCCATAGGCATCAACCTTTCATAGAAGTATTGAATCAGCAGCTGCTCATTTATCTGATGATTTAGACAGGTTGAACAAAGTTTGTTGAACCTCTCCCAGTACTCATATAAGGTCTCTCCTTGCAGTTGTCTAATGCCACTAATTTTTTTTCTTATTGCTGCAGTTTTGGATGCAGGAAAGAATTTCTCTAAGAATCTCCTCTTCATGTCATCCCATGTAGTGATT